TCAAAACTTATAAGTTCTTATAAAATAAATAACACATTAGAGATTCGCACGCACAGCTGCATTAACTGGTGTAAATATTCATAGTTTTTCAAGTAAACTTTTTGAAAGAAAACTGAAGAGTAAGAGTTTTCTTCACAGTTTTTTTCATCGAAAAATTCTTTTTTTAGATTTAGTTATTTATTTTTTCTTTGTATCAATTATTCATTTCTTTCATTAGTTCTAAAAAAAATTGAAAAACTTTGAATATTTTTAACTATAAATTTTTATTTTAGGTTCGATTTTTAATGAAATCACATGCTTTTGTACGAGAGAATGCACCACGTGCTATACTTTATGGTCAGATTTATTCCCAAAAAGGTTAATTATTTTCGTTCATGTACATCTTTCTTGATTTTTGTTTTTTTTTTGTAGATCAAACTGAAAATAAATCAAACGATCAACAAACATATTCTAATCCTCATTCACCATGTCCGGAATTTTCTAAATATATTTATTTTATTTTTGCACCAACACTTATCTATCGTGATTCATATCCACGAACATCATCAATACGATGGAACTATGTTATATCACAATTAGCACAATTTGTTGCAGCGGCATTCTTTGGTTATTATTTATTTTATCGATTTTGTTTACCAGTATTTCGATATTTTAAATCGGAACATGTTACTTTAAAAATATTTGTTCTTTCAATTCTTAATTGTACTTTACCAGGAGCTCTTCTTTTGTTTTGTGGTAAGTTCAAAATAACGAATATAGCTAAAAAATGATCAATAACACTGATTCTATCTATTATCTCGGTTTCTTACATGCAGTTTAAACAAAAATCAATATCTTAAATATAAAATGATACAAGTTTTTCTAAGATCTCAGTATTGGTGAAGGGCTCGAGCGTTTTTTGGAGCTGTTGAACAAAACAAAAGTAATAACACGCTGAAACTCTCCGTTGAGAAAAGCAGCCTCATTCGAGAACAGAGGTTGGGTTGGCTGAACAAAGTCGGTTCCTGGTTTTTTTTTTCTTTAAAAAATAGGCTATTCATCTGATTGCATTAATCATGGAGACTTGAAAAACCTTGAATTCTCTCGAATTTTTTGTTTTTAATAACAATATAAGTCAATAGTTGCTGTTTTCAAAGAAATTTAATCCTTTCGGAGTTGTACTGTTTTATATATAATAATAAATCAGCATCGGTAGTTGAATACAAAAAAAGTTTTTTTTTTTATGATACTGATAGTTTTATCTTTTCTTTGTATTGCTTTATACATTTGCTGTTTATTACCAAAACGTTTTAGCCTAAAGAAGAATTATATGAGATTTTCGAAAATTTTATATTTTATTTGAGATGTAGTTCATTGCAATATTGAATCAACCTGATCAAGCCCAATCATTTTTCTAAAAACAACTTAAGCTCATAGATGGGACTGAATCTAGGTCATTGAGGCTTCTGCTCGGGACACCCCGACAATCATGCAAAAAATAGAAAAGAGCTTTTGAAATTATTACGAGTGCAATTATTTATGGGCTATCCGTTAGCAATTACATTCGATAATAAAAGTCAATTATTTTATGCTCTTATATTTGTCTACATGAGCTTTATAGGTGAATATATATAAAAAGGAAAAAAAAAGAATTTTACTGAAGGCTATATTTTAATTGGCCAGTTATAGACAGTATGACGAATTGAAGCAAAAGGAAAAAAAAACGGATGATATTATATTTGAAGAGAAAATTTTGATGGTCAAAACTTGATTCTAATAATATTCAATTTCAAGTATAGAATATGATCATTAATTGTAGGTCGATTTTGATAAAAAGCCAAAATTTCTAAGTGATACTTTCGAAAGTTTTCAATATTGATGTAACATCGAATTAAAATCAGTAATATTAAACTTCTTTTTTTTTCAATTCTTAAGGTTTCATTGTTGATTTAATTTTAACATAATGATTATTTTATTAATATGATTTCGTACATTAAGGACAAAATAAAACTATTCTTTAAATAAATATCCTTTCAAAAAAAAAAACGAAAATCGTTCATTAATTCTACAAAAAATAATTTGAAATCTTTTCAAATACTTCTTTTCAATTCTATTGATTTTTTTGTTTTGTCTATAGATATCACATAGTGCTCTGATGAAGATCTGTAAAAATGTTTGTTTATTAAATGCATATGAAAACTAATAAATTTATTAATATTAAATTTTCGAAAGTAAATTATACTTTTCTTCTTATAGCTTTCTATGGTTTTCTTCATTGCTGGCTTAATGCATTTGCTGAAATGCTTCGTTTTGCTGATAGACAATTTTATAGTGTATGTTAAGTATTATTTTATCTTAAATTTATTTAAATTTTTTTTGTTTATGTATTTAAGGATTGGTGGACAGCTACATCATGGACTACTTATTATCGAACATGGAATATTGTAAATTAGATTTTTTTTTAATATACTATTTAAAATATCTTTATATAGGTTGTTCATGATTGGCTTTATACTTATATCTATCGTGATTGTCATAAAGTAAATCTAAAAAAGCAATGATTAGTTTATATATATAACTTATTTTTAGTTATTTGGTGTAAAATATCGTTTGGTATCAATGTATGCAGTTATATTTTTAAGTGCATGTGTTCATGAATATATACTTTCATTATCATTTGGTTATTTTTATCCTGTATTATTTTTACAATTTGCTATTTTAGGATGTAAGTTTTTAATTTAGAAACAAAAAAAAAGAAAGTGTTTTTTTTTTTAATGTCATTTTTTTTATCTGAAGTTGTATCAATGCTTATTTTACCACAACGTACACAAAATATTGCTTTTAATATATTTATATGGACATCTTTATTCGTTGGACTTGGAATGCAAATGTGTTTATATTCAATTGAATGGTATGCTCGACAAAATTGTCCTCGAGTAGTAGTAAGTATTAAGAAAATTTCGTTGGTCTTCTGGTTTTTTTTTTTGTTGTCATAAAAAAACTTAATTAATTTTTTTAGAATGGTCCATTGGATTATTTTATACCACGATCATTTTTTTGTCATGATGTCAATGATACATTAATAATAGATACTAAATCTTCGATGAAATATAATCATTTTGAATTATAACAAAAAAGAAAAAGCTTTATTTTATGACTGATAAACATATATATTTCTTGTAACCGTCCGTTAAAATATTTATCCCATGATGTTTTAATTCTCATAGTAGAAAAAAAAACTGATCGAAATTTTATTTTATTTTTTTGTATTTATAATAATAATTATTTTTAAAATAAAATTCTATTCTTCATAGATTTATGATGTGTTCGATTATCTATCCTGTCATCAATATTCGTAACCTACGATGGGATACATACACAAAATAAAAGAAAGAAAGCTATCATCATTAGTAAAGAGCGACAAATAGCTCAATGCGATTCTCTTTTTTTTTTCTGTTGAGTAATATGTGATTGATGCATAAGAGAGTGCAATGAAAGAAGGTTATAATATATCCTCTATGCCTGATTCGTTTTTGATAAACGATCAGTTGAACTGGAGGGAAGGATTTGCTTGAACTATAAGTATTATATTAATCATAGCATCTATATTATTTATAATATAAACACGCTTCTTTCTTTTTGATATTATGATATAGGAACTTAGAGGTCAAATAAGTCTTGCGGCGGGTCAATATCACGTATATTTTTTTTCCATATCGTTATTATTGTTACAGTGTCGCAAACATAAAGTTAGTTGAAGAAACAGAATGAGACACACTGGCCAAGGTCTTTAACTTCCTCTTTTTTTTTATTCGTTCCTTTGTCTACTCCCACTCACGCGCACACCTCTCAGTTTTTTTTCTTATTTACTTGCCACATGTCTTAGAACATGGAGACGAAGGATCTATATTTTTCTTCTTCTTCTTCTTTCTGCTCGGACAAAAAAATAAGGAGATCAGCAGCTTTCTATTTCTTTCTACTTTATATTGCGTTGGTTGTTGTTCAAGGCGAGAGAGGGAGAGTGAGAGAGCGTACTCGCGCGCGCAACAAATCGTCCGATGGTGGTGCCGCATTGTAAAAGAACAAGGAGAACATATTCTATATCTTATGTAAGGAGAATAGGCCATTTTTTCTTTATATATAAGACAGAGAAAGAAAGCAAGAAAAAAAAAGGCTATCGTATGTAAAGAACAAATGATCAAGCTTGTCTACATGCATTTTATCGATAGAAAAAAAGAAAAAATAAGAGACAGAGCAAACTTCATTCATTCATAGAAAAAACCAAGACGCAAAAAAAAAAAAAAAAAGAAAAAAATCTCTCGTTTTCTTTTTTTGCGCGGAACTTTTAGGGCCATTTTTTTCTCTTCTTTTCATTGCTGATTCGCTGTATTCCCTCTTTTCATTGTCGTCATCTATGGCGTCCCTTTTTTTTTTTTCTTTTTCCTTTCTAGCCTATTGCGCTAGTCGACAGAGACATCAGTGCGTCGAAAGTACACACGTGATACCTTAAATGAAGAGAGGGAAAGACAGAGAGCGGGGGAGAGAGAGAGAGAGAGAGAGAGAGCAAAAAACACCTTCATATACATAGATACGCTACGGAATCGATTTCTTTATAAGGCATAATCCTATACATACATCCACATAACGACTAGGTACAAATGACACGCAATTAGTGTCGATGGTAAGTTAAACAATCAAATGCTTACAAAGACTTTTATTTTTTTATTTATGATTATAAAGACTTATTGACCTTGATTTAAATTATGTTTAAAAAAAAAAAAAAAGAAAGAAAGATTTGTATACTTTTTTTTTCTTTCTCTTTCTCTCTCTCTCCTCTTTCTTTCTCTTTTCAATTTTAGATTGTTGTCGGATTCCATCATTAGCTGACAGCTAGGAGGAGAGAAAAGCGTGTAAGAAAGCAGGTTTCCAGCATGACTCGTTAATTTTTATATAATTTGTGGCCTGTTTGCTCGAGAGGCCTCTATGTAAAGCGAGCGAAAAACAAAACAAAACTATTAAATATGAATGAAACTAGCAATATAAGCAGTAGTTCAACCGGTGGCGTTTGTTCATCGTGTCTTAAAGAAATGCCTCTTATTATGACATCCTCATCATCATCTCGACTCTGTTCAAATTGTATCACTGAATTTATTGATCCTCAACAACAATTTTCATCACATATTAATAATAAATTTCCACTTTTTCCTTCATCACAACCATTATTAAATATGCAGCAGCATCAACAACAACAACAACAATCCCAATCAATAATGCAAACAAATTTTTCACCATTATCATCATCATCAGCATCTTCAACATCATCAATATCATCTAATAATCGACGTTTTAGTGCATTTGATCCATTTACATCCGGTAATGATATAAAAACTAGTTTTCTACATCCATTTACTGACATAAATAATGCTTTTTCAACATTAAATTCATCAAATTTAACTAATAATAATAATAATAATAATAATGATTTTGAATCAACAACATCTGATTTTATGCGTTATTTTCATAATTTTCTTAATGGAAATAATCATAATCATATCGGTGATCGTGATAGTCCTACTAGTAGTGTTCAAAGTAATGATTTTTCCCCGTTATTTGCCTCAAATTCAACAAATAATAATAATAATAATAATAATCATCTACCATCTCAATCTGTATTACAACGTCAACATTCAGCATTTTCATCTATTGATTCTACAACAAGTTCAACACCTTCATTAAATCGTTCATCAACAAATGATCTTCCATCAACATTATGTTGTTTCGGTAATAATCCTCCATATACGTATTGCATTGACTGTGAGACATCATTATGTGAGAAATGTGCATTAACACATCCAAAAATGCTTGGTTTTAAAGATCATCGACAACAATTACTATCATCACAATTGAATATTAACAATCCTAATAATAATTCTCGATCAATTATTGGTCAACCATCACGACAACAATCAACGCCAGATATTTTTCCATTAGGTGCAGGTAAGTTGTGTTTTTTTTTTTTTTGTTTTTCTTATTTATTTATTTAATTCACAAGGACATTTCTTTAGTTCGTTTATCACAACAACAAAATCCATTCGATTTATCTTATAATCGATCTTCATCAACAAATAATTCATCGAATGATTTTCAATCATTATTTAGTTCATTTTTTTCTCAATTATCACTTAGTACACCTAATATTGAGAATTCAATTAATAATCATAATCATAATAATAATTCTCCTTCATCACCATCTATATCATCAACAACAATTTATTGTCATGAACATTCAACATTAAAAGCATCATATTATTGTGATATATGTTCACGTGCATATTGTCATGATTGTCAAGTTCTTCATGCTCAACAACATACATTATCATCATTACAAGATACAATTGATAATGCACGACAATTAACAAAACAATTTTTAATTGAATCCCAAACATTATTATATCATCTTGATGAATCATTAAAACAATCAACACGTACTATGGAAAATATTTCAATAAAAAGTTCAACTATTGAAAATGAAATACGTACTATGATTAAATATTTTCTTGATATACTTTCACAAAGACAAGATTTTCTAATGAAAAATGTTGATAAAATACAAACAATTAAAACACAAACTTTACAAAGACAAATTAATGAATTAAATCAAGTTATTAAACAATTACATTTAACAATACTTGGTAAGTTAAACATTTATATAACTCAAGACATTAATTTGACGATCGAATTTAAATTATTTTTTTCCTATTCTAAATAGATTGTAATGAATGTTTAAAAAATGGTAATGATGCAGATTTAATTCGTATACGAAATCGTCTATGGAATGAAACAATTAAAATGAAACAAACATTATTATTATATTTAAAACCAATCGAAGATGATTATATACAATTTCAAGGTTCGCCAACATTAATTAATAAATCTTTAATAAATTATGGTCAATTAGTTACTTCAACATATCCACCATTATGTGAATTATATGGTGATTCATTGTATTATACTATACGTAATCGTTTAACAGTTTTAAATTTACAAACACGTAATCATTTAGGTGAATTACGTACAACAGGTGGTGATAATATACAATGTTGTTTAATTGATACCGGTACAAATCAAACTGTATCATGTGACATATATGATCGTCAAAATGGACAATATTTTATCACATATATAGCTCAAACTGATAATCTACATATATTAAATGTCTATGTTAATAATGCACCAATAAAAGATAATCCATTTCGTATACAAATTAAACAAAATCGTAATTATTCAACTATTGGTTTAAAATTAGAATTTGAAATAGGTGGTGAAGGTGATCAAGATGGTAAATTATGTCGTCCATGGGGTGTTTGTTGTGATCATCAATCAAATATAATTATTGCCGATAGATCGAATAATCGAATACAAATATTTAATAAACATGGACAATTTTTAAGAAAATTTGGTACACAAGGTAATCGTCCTGGACAATTTGATCGACCAGCTGGTGTTGCATTTGATAAACAACTACATCGTATTATTGTTACAGATAAAGATAATCATCGTATACAAGTTTTTACATCTACAGGAGAATATATATTTAAATTTGGTGAAAAAGGTACTAAACCCGGTCAATTTAATTATCCATGGGATGTAGCTGTATCATCAACATCACAAATATTAATATCAGATACACGAAATCATCGTGTACAATTATTTTCCAAAGATGGTTTATTTTTACGTAAATATGGTTTTGATGGTCCTATATGGAAACAATTTGATTCACCACGTGGAGTTGTTTTTACTCATGCTGGTCATATAATTGTATCAGATTTTAATAATCATCGTTTATTATTTATATCATCAGATTTTCAAAATGCTCGATTTTTTGGTAGTGAAGGTTCAGCAAATGGACAATTTCTTCGTCCACAAGGTATTGATATTGATGCAGAAGGAAATATAATTGTTGCTGATTCAAGAAATTATCGTGTACAAATTTTTTCACCACAAGGTGTTTTTAAAACAAAATTTGGTATGCAAGGTTCAGGTCCTTTACAAATGGATAGGCCAAGTGGATTGTGTGTTACACCTGATGGTTTGATTCTTGTTGTGGATTTTGGTAATAATCGTATTCTTGCTTTTTAATTATATATACGATTCTATGTCTCACACATTTCACTCAGGTATCCTATCTATCTCTACATAATTCACATATATCAACCCGGTAGATATGCACAAAGAACAGTCTCTTTTTATTCTTTCTCTCGGAACTTTTGAAAACAAAAATTCAAATTTAAACAAAAACGACTTATTTCTTTCATTTCTTTTACGTTTTTCTTTTTTTTTTTTTTCATTTCCTTCGAATTCTCTCTATGAGTGAGGCACAAAAATTTGAACAGTAGCAGGAAAATTACAGTTTACGTATATGTGTACATATAAAGTCTCATTAATTGTTTTTTTGTTGTTTATAATCATTGTTTATTGAATGTTTTCCTTGAATATTTCTTTCTTTTATGAGCACAGTGTGCTTCTTTAAAACAAAAGAAATTTTGCTTCTTTCATTTTTTTTTTTAAAAAGTCTTTAGCTTCAAGTCGCTAGATCTATCTGCAGGGTAACACATAATTAGACTTCATATAATGTTCTCTCGTTATTTGACTCAGGAACACGTCTCTGTGTGCGTCTCTCAGGATGAACAGTAGTGACTCTTTTTTTTCTAAAAACAGTACTACAATAATTTGCTCTTTCTATCCCTCTTCTTCTTTTTCTTTTGTTTTAACAAGAAAAACAAAAACTACAGGATATTTTTCAGTCTCTATTACTATTACTGCTGCTGCTGATAAACCAAAACAGGAGGCAAACGAACAGAGTTCTACATTTTTTGTTTTTTTTTTCGCATATAACATGCAGTTCGCAGACATTTTCTTGCCACTCGGGTTTTTAACGAAATCTATATTTCAAAAAAAAAAAATACACTAAGTGTTTTTTTTTCGTCTACTGCTACTGTTTCATTTCTTTTTTTTTTTTTTTTCTTCTTTTCATTTTATAATTTTTGCTCTTGCTTTTTTTCTTGCTTCAGCATTTGTCCTATTACAAGCTGCTATTTCTTCTTAAGTGTGTGTGTGTGTGCCTGTGTGTATGTGTGTATCGTTCTCTTTTGTAACATGATCTTTTCGTTTTGAAATTCGAGTGCAAATTAATAAAAAAATAAAGTCGATTTATCATTTATTTATTTACTTGTTTAGTTTGCCTTCAATTCAGGGTCATTGTCGGGCGTCTTAACATGCATTACTTGTTGACTCTTGTCAAGGTTATATATTAAGTATTCTATGCGTGTATAATAGGTTGCCTTCGTCGGATAAAAACAAAGTTTGGCATTGAGAAAGAATTGTTTGTTTCATTCTCTCATCGTTAATAGACATTCGTCCTTGTCTGAATCGTTAGTACAAAAGAACGAGAAGAAAAAAAAAACTCAAGGAAGAATGTCTACGCACATTGATGAACGACTTATATGTCTTGTCCTTATCAGACAAACATTTGTCAAGGGCAACGAGTCGTGTATCAAATAGAGAAAAAATAGAACGAATGAATTTATGCTTATTTTACAGCTGATGATGATCATTTCAGACGCATGTTACCTTGTAGAGAACAAAAAAACATATTATTTGTTATGACATAACAAGGTCGAAACACTCTTGTTAATTTTATTTCTTCAATAAAAATTATCATTCAAGGACTCCATGCTCAACGAGCACATGTTTTCAAATGTATTGTATTATCCGGACAAAAGCAAGCAAAAGCTGATGGACTAGCTGAATTAGCAAAACAATAACCCGGCGAACAATTTAGTTCACAAACAGCTAAATAATAAAAAAAAAAGCAAAATTTATAATATATAAATAGAAATACTATTAATAGGATATACCTGGTCGCATATCTAATTCACATGTATTTCCTGTATAACCAGGAGCACATGTACAAGTATAACTATTTCCCGAAACACCGCATGTACCTGCATTTTTACATGGATTACTATCACAT